TCCCAGCCTAGGAGCAGGTCAGGGCGAGCACCCTCCCGCCTCCACCCTGCGCTGACTCCTGCCAGATGCTGCCAAGGGTCGGGGCAGAAGGTGAGCCGATGGCCACTCTAGGAACCGACTTCGGGAACCAGTGCCCAGGGCAGAGGCCCAGCGAGGCTGGAAGGAACGAGGCAGGCTGGGGCGTGGAGGGTGCTCTCTGGGTGCCTACCCTCACCCTCTCACTAGGCCCTCATGCTGACCCAATGCAGAGAGCTCCATTGGAGGCTGGGGGTGGGGGGGGAGAGTGTTCAGAGAACCCAGGGCGGCGGTTGGGTGCAGTACTGACTTCCCCTAGCACACGGGCAGGCTGCTCCAACCCCACTCAAAAGGGCTCCCCACACTCAGGCCCCTGAACTCTGACCCTAGTTTCCCCAGGTCCCTTGAGCAGGCCCAGAGAAGCCTGTTCTGAGGTGGGGATAGGGTGGCTACAGACTTCAGAGTCTTGATCACTGGGGACTGCAGCCCCCATTTCTGTCCAGCTGACACACCTTGGGGGGAGCTTAGGGTCCCATGTCCCTGAGTCCAGATAGGGGTAGGGGGTTGGGAGACCAGCTGGGCTCTGCACGTTGAGGGAGAAGAGAACAGGGAGGAAGGAGAGAGGAGGAGGAGGATCAGAGAGGGACCTGGAGGGAGGCAGAGGCCACATTGGCCTGGGCGGGTCTGGGTCACTTACTGAGAGGGGACTCCTCACCAGGCTCTGAGACCATCATGCCAGCCACCGGAGGGCGGCTCAGGGGCAGCCCAGAGCCTGCAGAGTGGGGAGCAGAAAGGGAGGCAGGAGGGCAAGGGAGACAGAGAACCAGACAGACATGGCGAGGGACACAGGGAAACACACACACATACACACACACACACACACACACACAGAGAGAGAGAGAGAGAGAGACCCGGGAGGGAGAGAGACATAGAGAAGGAGAGAGATGGAAAGACAGACATAGAAAGGAGAGAGATAGAGACATAAGGAGAGAGAGAGAAAGAGACATGAAAAGGCACCGACAGAGACATGGGGAGAGAAAGAGACAGAGACATGGGGAGACAGAGGGAGAGACATAGGGAGAGCAAGAGAAGGAGACAGAGAGGCAGACACAAGGAGAGAGAGTGACAGGGAGGTGGGGGGAAGGGTGGAGACAGGTGTGAAGCAGGACAAAGTGGGAGAAAAAGACAGGTTAGAGGTGGGAAAGTGGGTGAGAGGAGGAGGGAAGAGGTCCCACAAGGGGCAGGGGGTGGGTAGGTAGACTGGAGCTGTCAGGGAGGCTGCTGGCACAGAGCTGGGTCCAGGGGCAGGAGCGGGGCTGTGGCAGAGCCCGGGCAGCAGGGAGTGGGTACAGAGAAAGAGCCACTTCAGAGGTCAGCCTCTGGGGTCTCAGGTGAGAGGCACAGCCAAGCATGGCCCCATCACAAGCAGGGCAGCCTTGCTTAAAGGGCACTGTGGCTGGGAATCCAGGAGACTCGTCACCCCAGTTCCCTGGACCCACTCCCAGGGCAGTGGGTGGGGTGAAGGCCCCGCCCTGGAGCATCAAAGGAAAGAAGGTACAGGCCTCGATTGAGTGGAAGCCCCCTGCCAAGGGAGTGGGCTGGAGTAGGCTGTGGTCTCAGTAGGCAGGCACTGCCAGCAAGAAGCAGCTGCTGGGAGCACACTGGCAGAAGCCACTGGGGGGTTGGAGGACAGGGGATGAGCGTGTCCCCAGCTCTCAGGCTTACTAGAACCCTGCAGCATGGGGGAGCCCTGGGCCTGGGGGAGCTGCAGGCAGAGTCCCAGTCCCAGGTGCCAGGGGCTCAGTCAGGACCCAGCCACCAGGGTCTCACCATCCTGTCTGCACTGGCCCAGTCAGGGTGCCACCACTGGCATTTGGAGGCGATGGAATGGTAGCTGAATGGGGGTGAGTTTCACTGCTGGAGAAGCCCAGGCCAGGCTCCCCCAAGGCCCATGGTCAGAGCAGCCCCTCCTGGTCAGCCGGAGCCCAGCCCTCACTCCATCCTGGACTCTGACCGGCAGTGCCCCGGACTCTGGCTCCTCCAGAGAGCAGCAGGGACCATATGCTGGGTCCCAGGATGGAAAGAAGCCAGAACTCAAGTTCCTGGCCAGCTCAGGTACTGGCCAAGGGGGCGAGTGGACTACTTTCCCACCACAAAGTCCAGTCCCTGTCCTTCAACCCAAGAGCCCTGGGCCTCTGCACAGGAGCCCCTCCTGCCTGAACCTCTTCCTGCAGAGCCCCTCCTTTCTTCCCACCCCCGCCCCAAGGACCCTACCGCCAAGGAGGGCCCCAGGCAAGGACTTCAGAGCTGAGCGGCCCAGGGGGTGAGGGTTTCAGCTTTGAATGCTGGCCAGCTGGCTTCCAATCAACATCAGAAGCGCGGAGGGGGGGCGCATTTCCTGGCCTGGGCCCTGAGCCTTAGTGTAAAAGCCTGGTCATGCTAACATCACAGGGACCTACACAGGTCTACACAGGTCTACACAGCTGTCACTCAGTAAGCCCGAGAACATGGCATGGAGCCCACCCCGTGGAGGCTCTCTCAGACCAGGAGAGGGGCTTCTCTCTGGGCTGGGAAGACCTGCTGGGGCTTTCTGGGGCAGTGGGGGGTGCAGGGTGGGGGAAGGGCGGGCGGGCTGTAGGGTACCTTCAGCAACTTACCCATCTGTAAGTTCCCACTGCCCATGTCGCCGCTGCCCATGTCATCTGCAAGCCAGAGAGAGGAGACTCAGTCATCGATGTTGTCTGTGGAGCGCCCGCCGTAGGGTGTGGGGCAATTTTCAGCATCAGGCAGAGTGGGGACCATCAGTGAACACAGGACTATATCTCCTTCCCTGGGACCAGGGGGGCCTCCAGCAAAGAGGATGGGGGAGTGGATCAAGGCCCCAAACTCCAGGGGTTCAATGATCCCATGACGGCTGCCGTGGGTCCTCAATCGCACAGCAAGTAAAGAGAGGAGGCGGCAGAGTAAGCCCAAACTAAGCTGCTGCTGGGGCGTCACTGCTGACTCACAGCGGCCCTACAGGACAGAGGAGAACACTCCCTGAGGTTGTAAAGCCAGGAGTCCTCCCGGAAGGGGACAGCCTGCTCTTTCCCCACAGAGCAGTGTGTGGGTCTCTCAGTTAGCCGCTGGGCTGCAAGGCCTCTTACAGACGCAGAGTAGGAACACACACAGACCCCATGCTGTCCAGTGCATTCTAACTCATGCTGGCCCAAGGCGTCCCGGGCAGTCACTCCAAAGGACTTCCCTGGTTAGGCAACCAAGTCTTTCTTCCTCACCACCACTGGGTGGAGGTTTGGATGGATGGTCCTGTGCAAACCACACAGGGTCCTCCAGTCCGGCTAAGGGGAGGGATGTGGCCCTCGCTCTGTCAAGTGGATGCATCCACTGCCAGCCACCTACCCAGGCTGGTGCGGGGCATCCCACGCTTCAGAGAAGAAGACCGCAAAGCAGAGAAGGGCGGTGACCGGCCCAGGGTCACACAGGTGGTAAAGGGAGAATGCTGGGGTCACTGGGATCCGGGCTCAGGACAAGCACAGCCCTCAGCCCATCCCAAGGGGTCACCTGAGCAAGCTTCAGTGTCCCCTCCAGCACCAGTGTGCACCCCCGTCCCCAGAAACCTCACCTCCAGAGGCATCGTCAGCCAGCAAGTCCTCATCGTCAGAAAGGTCCGAGTAGCTCCAGCCAACCCGGCCGGCCGTGACAGTCTCAGCGTCCTCGGGCACAGACAAGCCATCATAGGCTCTCAGTGCATAGGTCACCTGTGGGAGACCAGGCAGCAGGCTGAGTCCAAACCCTAGGACCCCTCTTTAAGGGCAACGCAGAGTCACACCGGAGCCTAAGGCTGACTAGCCAAGAGAGCCAGGTCAGGACTGAACTGTGGTCTCCGACTCGGTTTCCCTAAATCCCATTAGCCCCTGGAGGCTCGAGAGCCCAACCCCGCAATTTCCCCGAGTGTGGAGGGCCCTCAAAGAGCACATAGTCAAGGGAGTCACTCTCAGAAGTGAGGGCTCCTCTTTCTCTGGGGGATACCGGGTGTCTGCGACATGAGCAGTGGACAGGAGATAAAGGGTTAACCTGGGCCAGCAAAGTCAGGGGACATGGCGAGTGGACGGTGCCCAGGGTCAGTGTGAACGTGACCCAGGCAGAGACGAGGGCGAGGCGGTGAAAGCAGTCACTTCTACCAGCAGCTCCCTGCTGGCTACTTGGGCCATCAGGCCTCCGGAAGGCTCAGAAGGGACACACCTTTCCAGCCAGGCACTTGTGGGTCACCCCAGCAAACTCCTCCCCAGCAGCTGGTGGAACCCCGCAGCCGGGTTGAGTAGGGTCAGCACCGGTGTGGTGTCACCTGCACCCCTCTCCTCCAACACGTGCCACCTCATGGGCCGGGCCCCGCCCCTACAGGCCAGAGGAGAAGGCTCCAGCTGCCACCACACTGGACTCTCCCAGGGCGGGACTGGGCAGAGCATCTTCCCCCTCAGCCAATCCCGGATGTTTCCAAGGGAGCTGGTGCAGGTAACTCAGAGGAAAAGAAACCTGAGCCCAAGGGACCCCCAATGAGTCTGAAACCTCTCTGCTGGGCAGGGCGGGGGGGGGGGGGGGGGCCTCAGGTAAGGAGAGAAAGAAACCGGAGTCAGCCAGGGCCTGCTCCTGCCAGCCCTTGTCCCTGGCACCGCTGGGCGTTTCCCCAGGCAGGGATGCCCTGCCTCCTATTGGCTGATCCCTCCTCCAGCACCTCCTCTAACTCCTGGGGTGAAGGCACACACCTCACCCAGCACAGTGAGGACAGGGGTGGAGAAGCCCGCGCAAGGCCACATGTTGGGTGGCACCATTCACTGAAGCTCTCCTGGGGAGGCTCCTACATTGACACCCCCACCCCAGCAGTAGTGGCCTGAGGCCATGTGGGAACCTTCTGGGCAGGTGAAAATGTTCTGCATCGTGACTGAGGGGGAGCCCCTGGGTGTATATAGCGCATCAATGAAGTGCACACTAAAATTGGGTGCGGTTTACTATGTGCAATTTACACCTCACCTGCCTGGAGACCTTGTCGGGACTCCTTGCTCTTCACAGTCACCCCCACCCCTTGTGACCGTCTGGACCCCACTGGGATGGGATCCACGCCTTGCTGGCAGGGCCTGTGGAGAAGCCACTCCCACCCTTTCAGCAGCCCGGGCTCGCTAAGTAAGTACTTGAAGACATGGCCCAAGATGCTGCGGCTCGTTCACTCTGGTCACTCCTAAGGACGCTCTGCCCGGGGGTCCGGTGCCAACTTTGCGTTTGCAGTGCTGCCAACCCCAGTTGGAAGCCTCTGCTATGGTCCAACACCCCTGACCCCACAAGCCACGGGCACAGCCCTCCTTCTGCTGCTCCTCCCCTCCCAACCCTGAGCACATCCCATCCCTGCTCTGGGGGCCCGGGACCTCTGGGGTCTGGTGGGCGCCAGGGCATGTGCTTTTGAACTTCAAGAACGTGGTGAGAAATACAGATTGCTGGGCTCCCTCCACCCCTGACAGGAAGATCACAACTGTACACATTAGAAGGAGCCCTGGGGGCTTAGTGGGTCACACATTGGGCTGCTCACCCCAAGGTTGGCAGTTCAAAACCAACAGCTGCTCCTAGAGAGGAAGAGGAGGCTCTCCATTCCCGTAATGGATTGCAATCTCAAGCCCACAGGAGCAGCTCTACTCTGACCCGTAGGGCTGTGAGGAGTCGGAATCCACTCGAAGGCAGTGACGCTGCCAGTCACTGGTTCAGAAGACGGGCACTCTGCCAGAGAACTGGGACAGGGAGGGAGGCGAGGGGCTTAGAACCAGGCAGGAAGCAGCTAAGGGAGACTCCATTTGAACAAAAAGTCAAGAATACACATCTGCAGTGAGGGGAGAGAGAATCTAAGAGCATCAGGACCTAGCCAGAGTCTCCTGCCCCCATCACCCTGGGACGCCCAGGAATGGGATCCCTCCATGTGCCAGCCTGCCCTTGCTGGCAGCCCACTCCTCAGAGTCTAAGAGCCAAGGTCAAGTCAGGGCCTGTAGCAAGTCGGCATGAGCAGAAGCTCATTTGTAAAAAGCCGAAGATCAAAAGATTCCAGCGGCTTCATCTCACATCTGGGAGAGAAGATGGAGCCAGACGGGAAAAGAGGCTTCCGGAAAGAGTCGCAAAGAGCCTGAGACTTGGACTCGGCACAGAGGACTTGGACTCAGACCTGGGAAGTCCAGGACCTACTTGGGGAATAAGAGCTAGTGTTTACTGAGCACTTACTCTGCACAGGCTTTGCTCTAAGCACTTTCCCATGTGCTGACCCAGGTGGCCCTGTGAGCAGCCCTATGGTAAAGATGTGTGTGTGTGTGTGTGTGTGTGTGTGTGTGTGTGTGTGTGTGTAGAGGTGGGGCAGGGGGCGTAGCAGAGAGAGGTGGGTAGGCAGCTTGAAGACACCTGCTGGGCTGGCTCTAGTCCGAGCTAAGCTGGCCGGCGGTGCGGTACAGCCTCTGTGAACAGGCGGTGGCGTTGAACCAGGACGGTGGTCACTGACAGCCATTTCCACACTCCTCTCGGGTACATGGTGCTTCACAGTTTACAAACCATTTCCTCAGCCTCGTTGTCACTTGACCCTGACACTGACCCTCTGCAGTCGCTGACCTTTGGCGGGAGCTGAGCCACACAGTAGTTGGGCAAGAGTGAAGTGTGTCCTTTCACACAGAGGGGTCCAAGGCCCTGGGAGAGGTAACATGCCCCAAATCACAGACAAGCAGCTGGCAGGGCAAGGACTGATGAAAGCCCCCTGGCTCCACGCAGAGCCCACCGGCCACCAGCAAGGGGCAAGGGCTGGGCTGGGCCTCCAGAGTGGCAGTGCCAGGAAGCCCAGGGCTCCTTGGTCCCCTTCCCCACACTGATCAGCTCACAGAGGGCCCTGAGGGAGGCCAAGTAGTAGAGGCCTGGGCTCGTGCAGGGTGTGTCCGAGGGCTCTAGAAAGGCTGTCAGCAGTTCCAAGGTCAGGGGCAGAAATAGAACCCAGGCTTCCTGCCTCCTAGCCCGTCTCCGGCTGAGCGGGAGCCCAGCTTCCTCCCAGAGGAAGGCCTTGGAGCCGGATGGAGCGGCTGCAGGGGAAGGGTCCAAGGGCTGGCCTGGGCCGGAGTGGAAGGAGCCAAACAGAGAGGGAGATTTTCCAGACCCCGAAGGTCCCTGGTAGAGGAAGGGGGTGGTGACTCATCCAGGCCAAGGCTTGGAACCACTGCTTAGGGTAGGAGTGGGGGTAGTGGCCCCACTGGGCAGGCTTTCCCTGAGTATAGGCGGGGCGGGGGCAGATGGTGGGGACACTGGACAGGCAAGGACCTTTGGGCGCATATAGAATGATGGGGTTCCAAGTCTTGGAAGAGCCCTTAGGGATAAGGAACTGGGACAGAGGCTGGATCTCTTCTCCTAACCTAGGTGGGGGTACAGAGGGGTCCAAGACCAGCTGGGAAGGAACTGGAGTGAAGGTGAAGGGTCAAGCTGTAGAGGGGTAACAAAAGTGAACTGAACCCATCAAGTCCATTCTGACTGACAGCAGCCCTACAGCAAGAACCGCTCCTCCTGGGTTCCGAGACCGTAACTGTATGGGAGCAGCCAGCCTCACATCCCTCCCATGGTTAGCAGCCCAGTGCTTAACCCATGCACCAACAGGGCTCCAAGAGGGGTGCCAGTCTGAGCCCTGGGGGAGGTGTGTCCAGATATCGATGCAGGGTACAGTATCTAGTTTGGGGGTTGGTCAGTTGGTTAGTTGTGGTAATATATCAGTAACCAAATATGTACCATTTACCGTCTTCACATGTAAAGTTTGAGAACATTGTGCTCATCCTATGGTTCAACCATCACCTAAGAAAGTTGCAGAATCCCCCCATCACCCTTCACAGAAGCTCCATGACCTCTCAGCACAGTGCCTTCCTCCCCACCCACCCTCACCCTACCCCAAGTCCTACTAACCAGTAAGATACCTGGGTCCCTACCCACTTGCCTGTTTCGGCTGTTACACCCAAGTGGGATCACACTGGCATGGTGAAGGTAGGTTTTGCCCTGTTTTGTTTTCTGAGTGGGGGCCGTGGGACTAGCGAAGGATGGAAGTGTAGATGAGAGTTTCTGGTGATGAGACAGCTTGAGAACAGCCCCCAGCCCCCCTACACACGGGCCTGGGGTACCTCACTGAACCTTCCCAGCCCACCCCACCCTCACCCCCGGGAAGGCTGGCGTGCAGGGCCCTGACCCTTTATCTGCAGAAACAAGAAACACAACGTTTCTGAAAACCGAAAGTGTTTTTAAAATATATTTTTGCAGCAAGTCCATTTGGTGCCAAGTCCTGACCTGAACTGATATGGAGCTATTAATATCTTATTCGCTGCACTTAGAGTGAAGTCACCGAAGCAGTGAGGTGTTTGTTTATGGGGCGTCACCTCAGAGTCCCCAGCGGGTGTCACATCACAGCTAGTAGTCAATGCCCTGTGTCACTCTCCCTACATCCGAACTTTTCTGAATTCCAGAACACATCGGAGCCACCAAGGTTTGAGTGCATGGGTTGCAGCTGCGCATGGTAACGATGTCTGTTTCTTCGCAGATCAGTAAACTGAGGCTCAGGGAGGGTCAGTGTGCAAACGGGATCGAGCCTGTAATTCTTACCATGCAGGGTGGAAGGGAGGATGGGTATGGATGAGGTCAGCCTCGAGGTCTGGGATGGGGGAAGGGCCTGGCTCTGCTGGGGTAGGTGCTGGCTGGGGGTGGGGATCAGGGCTGGGCTCCGAGGTTGATCCCAGGGCTTCGGCTTCCCACTCGGTCTGGCA